TATTTTAGAAATTTTCTTCTGTAATTAAATTTCTTATTGTATCTTAAAGTTTCTACTATGATATTATATAAATAAAATAAAAAAAAAAAAAAAAAAAAAATTCAATTAAATGAATTAATTTCCATTAAATAAATCTAAATTTAGCATTATATTAATGTTATTATAAGGGTTTAATTAAGAGTTCACTATTCTTGAAATTGAACTTTTACAATTCATAAATTAGTGATAAGTTATCATTACCGTTGTCTCGAAATAACGCCACAAGGTGTAGATAAAAGTTTGACCCAGATTAAGCTTTATTTAGGCCAAATTATGGCTTAATTCAAGCCAAAATTTTGACTTACACCCCAAGTGTTATTTCGAGACAATATGGTATATTCTATATAATAGTATTTTGTGATATAATGAAATATATTGAAATATATCAAAATGAAATTAACAAATGAGTGTTATTTAGAAATTGTTAAAAACTTTGAATATGATCACCATACTTTATATAATTTCCTTTTAGTTGATCGCACATTTTGCCGTTTTACTGTGCCTCTGTTATGGGCTGATCCTTTGTATGATATATCTAAGCATTCCATAAATGTTATATCTATTTATTTTTCTTATCTTAATGAAAATGAAAAATATCAATTGACTTCAAGCACGTATCAAGTCGACCTATCATGTCTTTTTAAAAAAACTTTATTTGACTATACTGAATTTATAAAGACATATTCAAGTTACAAGTTAAAAAAATGTCATCTCATTGTAGTATCAATATACTCAGGATATATTTAAGCCTAGTTTAAAAATTTCAACCTTTGCGACTATCCAAAGCATGTTATTTCGAAGATGTAAGCAAATCAATAAATTCTATATTTCAATGGCTGGAGATAGCTCAACAGCTTCTTTAATCCCTAGCTCATAGTTCTATTCACCAAAACTGAGAGACTGCAAATTTAAATTTGTTGTTTCAAATAGTCAAAACACAAATGTATACAATTATATTATCTTGATTTCAACACAGAACAAAAGAATTCAGACCATCCGTATTATGACATATAACGAAGATATACCACCAAATTGCCAAGAACCATTTTTAAATTTAATTAAGACTCAAACTGAACTCAAAGAATTTGAGCTAAAACATTTTAGTACAACTAGTTTTACACCTTTACTATGACACAAAATGCTTCAAGTAAAATCTCAAAGCCTTAGAAAACTAATTTTACAAGGAATCAAGTTTGATAAATATAATCTTGCAAATCTTGTGCCAAACTTGAAGGTATTAACAATAAGATGTTCTTTTGGAAATCCTTTTGAAAATTCTTTTGAAGTAGACCAGAATAATTTACAAAATCTTCAAAGACTCGAATTAGTAGATAATGACATAGAATTAAATAGAATTATACTAAAGACAAAATGCAAATTATTAAAATTTTTTATAATAAATGAGAGAAAATTAAGCAATAAAGTAAAGAAGGAATTTATTTTTTTAATTTGTCAAAATTATCCAAACATAACTACTTTATGTTATGTGATTGATAATCTTACATTCTCTTCTACTCTTAAAAATTTTTATAAGCTTTGTCAACTACAAATAAGAGGATTTGCTTATTATAATATTCCTTATAGTAGTCAAGATTATCTACAGACCTTAATCAGATATTTGCCTAGCTCTTTAAAAATTCTTAGCTTACTTAATATTTATGATTATAGTTATGAAAATTTGAATTATTTTTTACAAGCTTTAGATATAGAAAGAATGAAGTTAGAAGTTTTTATACTATCTTTTATTGTTGAGCTTGATCTACTTCCAAATTTAAGAAAATTTATTGAAAAAGCTAAATATTTAAGATATATAGAAATAGTGAGATCAGATGTGAAAAAACAAAAAGATAGTAAGAGAGAAATAATTGATTTTTGTCATGTTAGAAACATAAAATGTGGTTTAAAATATCAATTAGAGAGATATAAAAATTATTTTTGTACTTATGAGATAAATTTTGAATCATACATAGAAATAGAAGAATAACTATTTAAGGTTATATAACTATTTAAGGCTATATACCTGTTAAGATTTAACATTAGTTATACTTTCCAAATAAAATATTTGACTTGCCAATAAAATTTCATTACAATATTTAATGTAAAAAGAAAACTTATAAAGCTGTTGACTTTTAAAAGAAGAAATTCTACATCTGTTTTATTATTCAATTTTCAATTATTTTGATCTGGGCGTATGATAGTAAACTGAGTTCTAAGTTATATCATAGCTTGCAGTCGAAAATATATGACAGTAAATAATTTTGACTAGATGATCCAAATGTTTGGTCATGTGATGTGATGATTACTGGGCTCTGTGTCCTTGAAACTTCCCAAGAAGAAGTATACTGTATATAGAACTGATTTATTAAATATATTTAACTAGCAACCAAAATTCATTTTTAATCAAAAGAAGGCCATCATCATAATTTGACCTAGTTCATTCGAATCAACTGATATTAGACATCTCGATTGATCTGAAAATTAATACGTTTACCTTTCCTTCTATTTATATTGTGCTTACAACTTCGTTTTGAAAGTGTCTTATTGGTTTTTTTCTTTTAAGGCACTGGTAAAATGTTGAGAGATCTGTTTACAGTATTAACAAGAGGGATTAACAAGAGGGGGTCTAAAAATGGTTACAGGATCATTTCAGGTACTATTAACATTAATGTCCAAAGCTAAAAATATAAGTATTGATTATCAGTTTGTCGGGCTGATCCGTGTCAATTTATATAGTTTGATTGGCAATTATTTGATCACATAACTGAAATTCAACACAAAATCTTGTCAATTGCTCTACCATTGTCTTCGCTATGCTTCAGACAATTAATAACACTTTGAATTATTAATTGTATGTACAAACTATTTGTTTTTGTAAAAAAAAAAATATAAATCCAATAACTAATAAGATTTTTTTTTTTAAACATATCTATATTTGGTTCTTTATTCTATCACAAGTGTCATGGGGCTGATTAGGTTAGTAAACAGTAAACAAACTTTTTGTTTTTGTAAAAAAAAAATGCAAAACAATCAAATCATGCATTAAATTATGTGATGATTTGTTTGTTGCATGTATATTATTCCAATTTGGAAATCAAGTAAAATTCAGTTAAATCATTGACAATATTTTCTATATCGGGGTGTTTTTCGGGTATGAGATTCCAACAATTTTGGTATAGTTCTGTGTAATGAGGCAGAGTTCCTTCAACAGGTGTTTCTCTCATTCCATTAAAAACTTTGAGAAAATGGTGTGCTTAGTCTTGGATTGATTGTAATAGTGGTTTACTGCTCGATATTTCCCAGAAAATCATTCCAATACTATAGATATATGATTTTTTAGTAAATTTATATGTAGAATCATTATATGCTGGATCTGTATATGCTAGAATTCCATAAGGTTTGTTAGCATTTAGAGTTTCTTGGTTCAAAAATTTTGCTTATCCAAAATCTGAAATTAACATTTTTCTTTCATATATTCCTTCGTAAACCAGAATATTTTTGGTGTGCTAAAAAAAAATACAAATTTTATTAATATTTTTTTGCAACATTTTTAAATAAATTAACAAATTAATACTTACAAGATCTCGATGAATGATAATATTTTTATGTAAAAATTCAACACCTTTTAATATTTCATATGCCATTTGTAATTTTTGGATCTATGTAAGTTTTTCAAATAATTTTTCTAAATAAGTTCGTAAGTCACCCTTATTCACAAATTGGAAAACCATGCTAAAGGAATTATTATGAATAGTTGTAGTTTTGTGAAATTTAATAAGGTTTTGACATTTAGGATTTTTGCAAACTTTTTTTATGATCTTGAGCTAAAATAAATATTCTGTTATTAACATAATGTACTAAAATCTTCTTGTATCAAATATCATGAGTTCTTACTTCTTGTTTAAATTTATCAATATCATATTCATTTTTTAATGTTTTTATAGTGACAGTAATTTCTAACTGATAACTTTGTCTTTTCCATATTGCTTTAGATATGATTCCAAATTCTCCTTCGTTAATTTTTTTTAAGTCAGAAAATTCAATATTATTTATTTCTTTTGAAATCATGTTTTTGATAATTTTATTAAAAAAGATCAAAAAGAGCAAAAGAAGTGTAAAGTTTAAATCATACGGTAATAGTAATTGTTTTTTGGCATAATTTTTTACCAATATTATTGGGTAAGAATAGACAAAGTATTATAGAAAATGCATAATACTGTAATCAATTTTTTGAAATTAAATTTTTTCCAAATAGAAATTAATTTGCATAAACCAATTAGATTCAAGAATACTAAAACAATTGCTCATCCAGTCAAATTTTGAGCATGGGGAGTTTAAGTTTAATAATAAAAATCATGTGACCATATAAACTCGAGTTTAATTGTATTATAAGCAATTTCAAAAACATATTTAAATTATTCATTATAATAATATAAAAAAAAACTTTTAGAACACTTATAACTGCCATCAGGATGAAAGATATAATAATGAGTTAATCAAGAGGATTTAATAAATTAGATAGCATTGGAGTTATGCATGATTTTATAGTGGATTTTGGTTTAGGTTCTTTTTTTTTAATCGGTTTAGATGCAAGGTTGAATTCAATGTTGAATGCTAGGTTAAATGCTAGTTGAATATAAGATTAAATTTAAGGTTAGATGTAAGGTTGAATAAAACATTGAATGCATACAGTATTTTTGATTTACATAATGACTATTTAAACACTCAATGTTACATTTAACATTGTGGATGCGTATCATTTTAATATAACAAGGATTTCTCTAGTGCAAATGAGGTTTGATCAGGCAATATTAGTTTACGTGTTATTTTTATACATCTTATTTGGTGAATATTAGTTTTGGAATAATTATTTTAAATATAGTGAAACAAAGTGTATAGTCATGAGCATGTATATTATGCACAAATACTTGAATTTAATTGAATTAAATTATGATATAAGTTTGACAGTTTAGAAAATGCATAACGATAAGGTTTTGTATTTATAAATTTAATGTAATTATCATAAAACTGTGAAATAATGCACAAGGCTGTAACTTTGAATAATGGCCCGAATTGAGCTTAATTTAGGCTAAAATTCGAAATTACATCCTTGCGAGTTATTTCGTGGTTTTAGGTGTATAATTAATGCTCAAATTTTTTGAACTGCTTATGTAGTTTTATATTACTGTATTAGCATACTCTATTTATTAAAGTATCTAAAAGTTAATAATATCACTTGACTTAATGGACCAATGGGTCCGTAAGATCATATGATCATAGCATTACTTTTATAGAACTATTTCAACCCTACTCCATTTTGCCTTTCATTATTACGGTAATAATATTTTCCAATTATTACAAAAATAGATTTTCTATTTACATTTATTTAGAAAGTTTGAAGATTTCCTGCATAATGGTCAAGTGCTTAAAATTTCTCCATAATTCTGGGCAGAATTATGTTTGCTGTGAGCCAGAATTCTTTTAATGTCTGCCGAATTAAATAGTTTAAAATAATTTGTAGATTATTTATATTATCTATTTAATGTTTGGTTCACATTATTACATTTAATTATACTAAACTCTATTTCTTTGTTTTGTTGTTTTTTAAATAAAAATTTAGAAAAATATTTAAATTTTTATTAATCTATTTAATTCTTCGTGATTGTTCACAATTACAAATGTGGTTTTATTATTTGATAAATCACAATATCTGTTTTTAAGACATTACGATTATACAACTTTGAACATAATATATTTGAAAGTGACACAGAATGAGAAAATGAAGCTATTTTTGCCACTTCGCTGGTTGATCCAATGATTATTTTCAAAAGCCTAAAAAATAAATTTTAGTTAAAATATTTTCCTTTTTAAATTAAAACAACTAGTAACTATTACCTACCAATTCGTGACTATACAATTCGTCTATTCCTGAAATATCATTTTGTACTGAGAGTAATGCATACCTCACAGGTGTCTCAATTTCTAATTTAACTTTAAACCTTTCAAATAAATAATTGTGTTCGAACATATTAACTCTGTTCAATTAATGGGAACTAGCAGACATTCATCAGACCTTATTATTGGTAGAATTTTAATTAATTTACTCTTTTCCTTTAAAAGGACCATTTCATCATTGGCACATTTCTCATGCATTTTTTGAAAAATTTCCTGTGCAGTAAAATACGAAAAAGAACCTTCTGGACCAAGAGTATAAAACCTTCTGATCAAATCATAAACCAGAAATCTATTATTTTAAAGAATTTCATCATAAATATTATTCAAAAACTTTTTGCAAACCATTTTCACTCGGAGATCTGTTCCTAATAAATTACTTTTCCTCGCTTCAGAGATATTTAATGAACATATATTATTATTAACAATCCATTTTACAATCTTGTCTAAATTACTTGTGAACATATTTACAATTTTCAATTTCTTTTTCAACTCTTCAGCTCTATCAATGGTATATCAAGTACCATAATCATTCATTGAATCTCCCTGAATAATAAACACACCATCTGAAAATTCAACATTTTTATCAGTCCTATAAGAATAGTCACTGTTATTTAATTCTACCATTAGATACTGTTAACATTAAGAGTTTTATACATTTTTGATCATAACTTTTGATGTACCAAACCAATTTGGATAAAACAACCACCATTGGATTCAGCTCACCGAGACGATTCTAACGA